TTCATATATATATATATATATATATATATATATATATATGAATGAATGAATGAATGAATGATTTTGCTACATTATTTTATTATTACATTATTTATTTATTACATTTTTTATTACATAAAAAAAATATGCTACAAGCAAAAAAAAAATGCAATCATGAGTTTGCAGAAATCCCTGAAACAATATATGTTCGTCCCTAGTGCTAATTTAATTCACAGTTTTGATTACAATGTTGTCTAGTGTGTTCACATAACCTACTCAAAATACGCCAACAATTAGACATTCGGGTCATTCTGGTTTATGGTTGCCTGACATTTCTATTATATTGCAACTGGCTGACAATCAACTGTTGCCATTACATGATGGGTTTGTACCGTGCGTGAAGAGCGATACAGGAGTGGGTTCAGCACATGCAAGCTGAACAGAGCAAAAGAAGAAAAGATCTTGCGGCCTCTTCCATCTCAGTGACTCTCATCTGTAGGCTATCATGGATCTTCCTCCTTATCTCAGTTTCCTGGTTTAGGAATTTCTGTTTTGGTTCACAAGATCCTTGGAAGATTAGTTCCTAAAATACAAGGACTAGCAATGTCAAATTTCTTAGATAAACCAGGAATCTAGAACCTAAGAGCCTGTATTTCATATGATGAAGTTACATTTCTTTCCACACATATATATAAAATAACATATATTAGAAAACAAGAAAGCATTAGAGGAAGAAAAATGGTTTTTATTCTGGAGTAGACATTATTGATCCTTTTTTAAAGGATGGATTATCACTGTACAAGGAAACACAGTGAGTTATAAAGAATTGTGGATGTATAAAGAAGCATACTTGTATATCAGATTAATAAAAACCCTGGTCTTTAGGTAGAAGGGTAATTAATGTTTTGACTAGCTGAAGCTGCATGTAATGTTTTGAGACTGTCTTATTCTTTTAATGGGGATGATTCTATCTTTGCACTTAATCAACGTACATAGTTTAAGGGGCTGGTAGTAATAGGGCATTCTCACTGTAAGATATGGTGAATGACTTCTTTTCTCTTTCCTCCTCCTCCTCTTCCACCTCCCTCTCCAACTCAGTTCACAAGATGCTGGAATTGGATTTATCCTTGTCATAGACCGCAGGCAAGACAAATGGACATCAGTGCACGCCTCTATACTGCGAATTGCGGTGAGCTGCTATGCAGCTAATGCTTTTACTTCCCTTGACAAATCTACGTGAATAGCATTGAATAACCTGTTTATTTTCTAGAGTGTTTGGGTACTATTTTTTTTAATCTAGAAACCTTATAAAATTACCTATTATAAATGTGGCTTAATTAGAGAAGCAGAAATCATCTGCAGTGATATAAAAATTTGAAGTTTGTAGGACCTGCTACGTTACATTCAGGGATCAAATGAATCTAATGCTTTATGATTATATCCACTTTAAAGAAATTGGGCTTCAGGTGGTGATAAGATATGATAAAAGAGAGGTGTTTTTGTTGATTACAGAGAGTTACTTGCTTCTAATGAAGTATCTGTCCATGAGAAAGTATTTAATGTAGAATTGATGCTTTAAAAACAGTTTAAGGTGCTCGCTGTGGTAAAATAGCAAAGATTCTGTAATTTCTATATACTTTTGTTTAAAATGAGGAATATAGAGAGAAATTGGTAGAATTTATAAGCAATTCTTCAATTACCACTAAAACTGATACTTCGTTTACACTTCTATAATGTAAAAGCAGTCTGCTACTTGTGTGTTCCGTTTATTTTTTCTGTGTGTGTGTGTTTGTGGTTAGTTGGGGGTTCTTCATTAGTATTGAAAAATACTATATTAAGCTGAGATCTGCAAATCATTATATATTTATACAAAGTTGTATTTGTTGTTATTCCTGGAAGAAATGGGAATCAAAGATAAAATCACTGGTTATTTTATCAAGACAATACCTCAATTTTAGGCTGCCAGTGAATTAGAGACAAGCAGCCTTTTTCCCTTTAAACAAGCCATTATTTATATAGTAAAATTTTTGAGTTGTTCGGTTTTTCATTTAAGGGAAATTATTTCATGATTATATACAGAAATAATATTAAATCTAGAACTAGTAATAGTTTACTTAAAGGCAATAACAAGGGCAGTGCCTTCAGATATTTAAAGCAGATTCAAGGAATAATGTCCAGGATTTTTGCTGCCAATTTTCTAAAATCAGGACTTTTAACATTTCTATGGTACAAGAACATTACGGTTAGTTATAAAATTATTTTTTATTAGTATCTCACCAAGGTTTTTTTTTAAGTTAGTAACATTGAACGCGTGTGTTTCCAAGTCTTGCAGTGTTTGGCCTAGTTCAACTATATTCCACAACTCATGTTCCAGTTTGCAGTAAGTTATGACTTTGTGTAAGGGGGGAAAAAGGGGACAGATAGAGAGTTGAGGGGCATTCTGATTACTACTTAGTGGGATATGATTATCTCTCTTCTCTTGAGCAGTTGGGAGCATCAGTTGTCTCCTTGAGGTGAGCTTTGCTATAGTTTATCCAACAAGACATTTGCATTCCTGGGAGCTTAATTAATTGATTGTGGGTTGACATGTTTGCCTCATCTCCAGGTAGGCAGGGATGAACAGTTATTATACCACAGTATAATCACGTTCATCCCTGTTAGAGCCAGATCCTATTTTTGACTTCTTAACTATAACCAATGGACAATTACCCTTATGACAAAGTTAAAGTAGTTTCATTTTATGCTGTAGCAATTAGAGTGTGACCAGAATTAACTCACCAATTAGCTCAATAACATTCTTTGCCACCAAATTATCCTATTCTAAATTATGCCCACAGCCATTTGAGATACCTGGGGTAAGGACATTATGATTAGTGCAAACCGTGAAGGACTTTCCCATTGTCATTTAAATCATGTTTTTGAGTAATTCTTGGTGCGTGACAATAATAGTTTGTCTGATTCAGCTGTCATAGCATGTATTATTCCATATCAGAAAAAGGAGAAGTGGTATGGAAAAGTGAACCTGTGGCACATTTTTGATCTGCAAACCATAAACATAAATGTTTTGAACAATTATGGATAATGTCTAATACTGTTTGGAAAAGCTTTATTTGGGGCATTGTTGATGTAAGTACTCTATCAAAATCAAATTGTATAACCTTACAGTAGTGCTGTATCACTTTTAAAGTCCTGAAGGGCACTGGGCCAGGTTATTTGCAGGATTGCCATCTCACTGAAGATACCTGCCCATTCTACCAGGTCGGATAGAGTGGGCGCAGTCCAGGTCCCTTCCCTTAAATGTTGCCATCTAGTGGGACCCAGGAAGCATGCCTTCTCCATAGCAGCCGCTGCCCCATGGAACACCCTCCCCAGCAGGCCCCCACCCTCCTAGCCTTCTGGAAGGCCTTGAAGAACTGGCTCTTCCCACCAGCACTGGGGCTAGAGTGAGCTGGAGTCTGGGGAAACTGAATAGAGATGTATGGAGGAGTGTTTGCTTTTGGGGTGCTGTGAGTTTTTGTTACTGTTTTATGGATTTTTTTTAATGTTTTATTGTTTTGCAAGCTGCCCAGGATATGGTATTTAAGCCTTTTAAATAAATAAATGATTAAATTCTCATCCATTTGGCACACTTAATTATAATAAAAGAAATAACATAGCATATTTTAATAGTACTCACAGTCAGTGAAGCTTTGGCATAAGAAGCTTATTGTTACTGTGCCTAAAGGAAATGCATCCTTTTTGTGTTGTGGCCAAGAACTTGCATTTGCATCTAAAATTAATTTCCACTGTTACTTTTGTTCCTTTTAAAGCAAAACCTTCTCATGGGAAAGGATGCTGAAATATTAAACCTAGAAATGTAGGTTCATTTAATAAACATTTACATTTGCAGGTGGAGATGTTCTAATTTTCTGAGATATGAATGGGTTTTTAGATAAATCTGGATTATCAAAAAGGACCTCTGGTAAACTTCCAAAAAGTGTTTTACATTACACATCATCACTCTCCTGCTTAGATGCAGAGTCATAAATACCCTTTAAAGAAAGAATATATCAATTATTCTTCTGTTCATAAAAATGTATTCAAGGATTGACCTGTGCTGGATTTCTAGCCTATTTCTAACCAGGCTTATAGAAGTTCCACCTCTCACTTATGGAGTCCATAATCCAGTACAGTGGTACCTTGGGTCACGAACCACGACCAATTCGGGTCACGAACAGCACCGTTCGCAAAATTTTGCTTCCATCCGCGAACTCCGCATTGGGTGACAAACAGGAT